TTTTCTTAAAACAACTCCATCACTCCTCCATTTCAAAGTACAAGTTTACCTTTTCTTGTGCTTTAAACTTTTTACGTAATTTAAAGAGATATTTTGCCTTGAAATCTTAAGACGATTTATATTTTGAAATATTTATGTAAATTGACATATATTTTGAAATGAAGAAAATATTGGTTGTATTTCTTCCATGTTAAAAAAATTGTCTATTTTGTTATGTTATTTTTGTTTAATAAATTGATATTTTCTTGAGATGGAATGAGTATATCAATTACTATCAAAAGTAATTTAATTTCATAATATTTATGTTATACACCCAAAATATTATAAAGGGAAAGAAAAAAAAATCGTCGGTGGTGAAACTCGTACTATTCTTGATAGGGTACGTCGTAACATCGTCACCAACAGAAAAGTCCGCTGGGGAGCATGGGCCACACAAGTTGGTTCCAAAAGCCTAATTCTGTCCATATTAATTTATCATAATTGTACTTTAGCACTTCAAAGTTGCTAATGTAGAATTACTGTCCCCTTTAATTTCTCATTATTATATTTGAGCACTTCAAAGTTGTTAATGTAGAATATAGATGCCCGCAAAAATCAACTAGCTAAAGGGAACTTAAAAATTCACAATAACATCAATCCAATGGACATTTTCATTGAAAAGAAATTTTATTTCAGCAACTTCTAAATTCCCCAGTTTATTAGAAAAGTTTCATTAAGTGATAAAAGGGCATATGATGTTCGATACTCGTAAAATAAAGAATATTTTCATTAGAAAAAAAATAACGTAGTGATGTTATAGTTATTAAAGAGAATAAAATATTCTCCTTAACTATTTTTCATTTTTTATCATTGCAATTATATTTTCTGATTGTCATAATTTTTTCTTATAAAATTATTTTCCGTAACCAAAAATTGCACAACTCCAGTAAGTGTTGCTCACATATCATATTAAAACTCTCCCATAAGAAAGGTAGGAACCATTTTGCTAACACGTGTCATTCAAACTTAGTTGAGTTTATGCTCTACAGAATGTGATAATTCTCAAAATCAATAGGACTCCAACAATTTTCAACTATTGCTTAGTTCTCAAATGCAATCTTGGCATCCCCAAGGACACAGATTGTGGTTTTGTAAAATTCAATTGTTCGGGAGTGTAGTGTACTACACAGAACTAATTAAAGAACAAAAACATTGATTGATTTTGCGGGGGCAATTTCAGGGAATTGATGATCTTAGCTTTTAGTGTTTGTATATAGCAAATACCTTGAAATTCCGGGGAGCAAATCGAAATTGACCCATTTTAGGAAGCCTTGTTTCTGTTCATACTTTAAAGAACATTAGTATCCAAAGAAATTTGACAAAAACCAAAAATAAGTCAAAACATTCAAAGAAGGTGGTTCCCCGAATCCAACATATGCTCTCACATGGTGGGCTTGTTTTTGACTCCTTCTCCCTTTCATTATCCCTTAAATTTCCATCGCCATCTTTATTTACTATATACCCCCCACAGACAGAAGCACGTATAGCGGTATAGACGGCCACAGACACCAATCGCAAAACAAATTAAATTAAAACAAAGGGTTTAAACTCTATAGGTCGAGGATTCGAATTTCGCCGTAAATATAAAATAACTTTTAATTCTTTGACCAGCTCTCTCACCTATTAAGATACTTATTATGAATGGACAGGGATTAGTCACTGTCACCGACGTTAGACACCTTACAATATAAAAAAAAAACAAAACAAAAACAAAGGGTTTAAAAAAAAACACCTTAAATTTTTGAAAGTTATTTTGGACACACATTTAGTCTCAACATTTTTGAGTGATAAGTGAAAATGAAAATCTCCATTTCTTCGTTTCCATAGCATTTATTACAAAGAAGATGTAACTGTTGACAAAAATTTGATGTCAAATTATTCTAGTGAGCTCGCTTAGCAAATAAGAAGAGTATCTGGTAATGTCAAAATTGCGAGAAAAAAAAAAAGTTAAGAATATATCAGAAGGTTTCTAAAGTTTGTGGTCAAGAAAATATAATAAATGTGGAGCTTCTGGAAGCCATGTCAATGATCAAATTGTTGAGTGGACTGAGTTTGGGGGAGAGCAAGATTGAGAATTTCCATTTCTTGCAGAAGTTTCTAACGCAACATGCTCATATAATACACTTCTGCATATATCTATTCACAACTATAGACCTAACAAAGTACAAACTAGGAGAAAGATAGTATAACGAAAAGCTTTTAAAAAGAGTGACGAGAATGAATCAAACTAGAAAAGTTCGATATGTTCGATTAGAATCATTCTGTTCAGGAAATCTAATATTGTTGTATTGAAATTGCTCACTGACTTTACTAGATAATCTTAGATATGGTTTCGGCTTGAACCAATCATAAACCTAGAGTTACCTTATTGATAAAATAATTAAAAGAAGTTTATGAGTACTTTAGTTATTTATTAGTGTTTGATTTCTTTATTGTTATTTGAATGTTTAAACTTCTCTTACTATTTCTAACATCTGTTGAAGGTTTTCAAATAGCATGACACGTAATGTTTTCAATGTTAGTATAAATAATTAATAGGGTTTTGTGTAACTTCCAAAAAAAAAAAAAAAAAAGTTTTTGTCGAGTAAGGCTTGGTACTTGGGTACGGCCGGCTGAGATATGTTCGCAGGACTTTTTATTTCTTTCTTTCTTTCTTTTTTTGGCATCTCTAACTTTTTCTAGTCCGACAATTGGGATCGAGCAGTTGGCCAAGCCGCTTGGAAATGTTACTATTTCCGTCCCATAAAAATAATTCATATTGAATTTTTAAATTTATATTAAAAATAATTCAAAATTCAATATGGACTATTTTTGTGGGACGGAGGGAGTATTTTCTTTTTGTTAATGACTGAAATGAAATGTAGTTTTGTAGGAATTATCTAAACTCTTTATTTTATTTTATTTTTTGTAATGGTAAACGAATATGGTGAGATTCTCCTCTACTCAATTTACATTGTTACTAGAAATTCTAAAGTTCAGTTTGTTCTACCGATGAATTTTGCATCTGTTTTTGATACGTAAGTTAGTGGGCGGTATATAGATAGCTTGGTTCAATTGCAAATGATATATACTTTCTCTATATCAAAATAATTGTTTAATTTGATTTTAATAGGGGAAGGTTCTATTAATATAAATTAAGGTAATCTCATGTCTTGTTATAATAGTAAGAGGAAAAAGTATAAGATTAAATTACCCCCGGTCAATAAAATGGCCACAATGTGGTCAAAATAAACTGCGGGTAGTAAAAGTATTGATCATCTAAATGTGGAATCCAACGTGCATGTTCTGATCATACTCCTAGTTATTAGTAGTTATTTAGGGTTGAGAGGAATCATGATCCTAGTCATCCGTACCATGTTTCTCTGGTCACTATACTGAAATAATTTATATTATTTTTACTATATACAATGTATACTATTTTTATAGTGTAGGAAAAGTATAACATCGTATATATGTAGTATAATTTATAATTTACAGTAGGAATTATTTTTGTGGGATAGAGAAAATTATATTATATATAACGCATTTGTAATTTATAATGTAAATTATTGTTATGAGACGGGGATAGTATAATCCTAACTTTAACGATGCGTGTAAACCCTAATCATAAAGAAAAGATCCCAAAGTTATGGTACTACGCTATTAGGTCTTTTATAATTTATAAGGAATAATTAAGTACGTTAAAAAAAATAAAAAAAATTAAACCGGAGGGACAAATGTGAGAAGATAATATAATAAATCACCTCACTAACAAAAAAGCTCACCAATCTTACAAGCAAACACTAATTTTCAAATAATTAGGGTTACTTTGTGGCGACAGAAACTTATTCACATAATATCAAATAAATAATATTGGGGGGCCCTTGGTAACAATGGAAAATGGTTATCACTAGTACTATGGGTGAAAAAAACATATGGGAGGGTGATTTTATGAAGAAGATGAGAAAGCTTTGTGGCGGTGGCCTAAAATCTTAGCAAGTATAGCTGCATGGACTCGTACAAGTCATAAAAAGTTGATTTTTAGAAATATGTATACATTTTAGCTTAGCAAGTGATTTATTGATCACTTAATGAGGCTGGCCCTATGAGATGTTTCTATGAAGAAAATTCAGACAAAATGAAACAGGTGGTCTTGTGTCACTTGCAACCCTTTTCATCTCTGCCTCATACAATCTATATCCATCAATCAGCTGGATCCATTCCTCCCCTTTCAATTGGTTCGGTCAAGCAGCTATTTTGTACCATCAAGCAATAAGCACCTCCTTTGACCAATATATTAACCTCTTACATCACTGCCCGTCACCATATATATATATGGTTTTTGCTTTAAGTATTTTCTTTTGAAGCAAGTTATTAAATTTAAAATAATTATGTTATTATACATGAATCATGATTAACTTATTACCAATGATCATGCAGCTGATGTGTAAATGACCATTTGAAATATATCTATATACTCCGCCAGACATTCACTTGATTGTGTGACATATTTTTATTATTCTTGTAAGTTCGTGTTAATCAGAATATATACTTGAGTTTTTTCAATATTCTTTATATGAATCACCAAAAATAAGTTTGTTTTTATGTGTTTAAGATTTCTTCAACTTTGAATATGTTTTGGAACATTAACACCAATAATTAGCCAAAATTTCAAGTCTTCAAAATGATGATGGATCCACAGGATACCAAGAGTGGAACGAAGACTTCTTCAATAAAGAAGAAGGTTTAAGCATCGATCAAAGATAGGGTTCATTTTTCTTTGAACAAAAAAAAAAGAGGTCAAACTCGATCAAAGACTTGACCCAGCCCGCCACAAAAAAAAAATAAAAAAAATCAATCAATCAAAAGAAAACCTTTCCTTTCATTATCTCAGGACAAATTATTTCCGTAATATAGATTAATATATTATTTCTATAAACGTGGATCTATATATAAAGTCTACAACACTTGGAAAGAAGAATGTTCTTCTTTTTTATCAAGAGTCCTCACGTCAAACCTAACCATACATACATCTCTTAAAAGTCAGTCCTCCATCATCAATAATACTCAAAACACAGAAACAAAAGTACTTCTTCTTCTTCTTCGTGGAGATGGAAACTGCAGGGATGAGCACGAGTGTGATCAGTACATGTAATAATAATAACATGAGCAGCAAAGAAATAGATGAAGAAGATGATGTGCCACTTCCAGGGTTTAGATTTCATCCCACAGATGAAGAGCTGGTAGGGTTCTATCTGAAGAGGAAAGTTGAGAAGAGACCAATTAGTATTGAACTTATCAAGCAGATCGATATCTACAAGTTTGATCCTTGGGATCTTCCCAGTAAGCCCCCCCGAATTCTTTTTTAAGCTTAGATCATAGGTTTGCTTTTTTTCTTTTTTTTTTATTTATTTTGGGGGAGGGGGTGATTTTATGAAGTAACTTTGGATGATGAATATATATTCTCTAAATCCAGAAATCCGACTTGTTCTTCATCAAAAAAAAAAAGAAAAACTGTGTTTTGATCGAAGTTATCAGACGACGTTATCAATTATCTTAATTTTCTCATCATTTCATAACTTTACTAAATTTCTCTACTGTTTCTGTTGTTTGTTATATGGGCGTTACAAAGGATGCAAAACTCTTTCAATTATTAGTATTTAGGTTGGAATAATATCAGTATCTCTGTCATGTGATCATTTCTATATATCCAGACACATCAAACTTTAAAATCTTTCGGACCTCCTTTTTTTTTGCCCCTTTAATGTAGCCATCTTTGATATTGAATACCACTAAATAATGGAAGGAAATGGTACCAAACAGCAAAATAACCTCAGAATTTAGAAACAAGTTGCATGAAATAGTTAATACAAATGAGAGAATAAACCATTTTACATCCACATTCTGAAAAATGATGAAGCTTTAATCGAATCATTAATTTCACTTTTCATATCTTCGTTTTCTTGGAGCCGATAATTTGACGTGAATTTTGCAATGACATTATTCATCATCATGCAGAAGCTAGTAACGTGGGAGACAAAGAATGGTACTTCTTCTGCAAGAGAGGACGAAAATACCGGAACAGCATCCGACCGAACCGGGTGACCGGATCCGGTTTCTGGAAAGCCACCGGCATTGACCGGCCCATATACTCCGCCTCCGCCGCCGGAGGAGGAGAAGGAAGCCGTGACAGCGTCATTGGTCTGAAGAAATCGCTGGTGTACTACCGTGGAAGCGCAGGAAAAGGCACCAAAACCGATTGGATGATGCATGAATTCCGTCTTCCATCTGAGCATGATAAAACCCACAACACTACTACTAAGCAGAATCTTGATGCTAAAGACATTGCTCAGGAAGCTGTAAGTTTATTTAATTACTTGTATTCTTCTTCTAATCTCCATCCTCCTTTCCTCATGAAATCAAAAAGATTCAACAAATTAAACACCAGAGTATAACTTAATTTGATACCTCCTCCGTCCCGAAATTATTGTCAAATTTGGATAGAGTCCTGTTTTCAGTACTAGTTTTAATTCAACAAATTAAACACCAGAGTATAACTTAATTTGATACCTCCTCCATCCCGAAATTATTGTCAAGTTTGGATTTTCGTTTTTAGTTCAAATTGTACTAAAATTAAAAGTTCAAACTGCACAATAATTATGGGACAGAAAAAAAAAACACAGAAAAATGAAATAATATGTGTGTTCTTATAGCTTTCTTTCCAAAAATATCTATCTAAAAAAAAATAAAATGAACTAATAATGGGTGCATGGTGAATGGAAAATTTGGCAGGAGGTATGGACGTTGTGCAGAATATTCAAGCGAAATGTTTCGTACAGAAAATGCATACCTGAATGGAAAGAATTATCATCATCCAAGCTCCAGAAAACGAATCATCATCTTGATAATGCACTTAGCACATCAAGAACATGCAGCAATAATAACATGGATTTGGATCCTCGCCGTCAGAGCAACTACATCAGCTTCAGCAACAATACAACTCATAATCCTAATAATTTTATGAGTAACATAGACAAGAAACCCTACCACAACAATATTAACCTTCATGGCCAGGTTGATATTAATCTATCAAATTATCAGCATCAACAACAACAACAACAACAACAACAACAGCAGCAGCAGCAGAATAAACTGTTCTTTAGCCAGTTATGCTCGTCGCCGACGTCGGTTTCTTCATCAGTGATCACTACTCCAGTAGTACCAACATTATTGAGCAATAATAATAACAATAATGTTGTTGCATCAAATTATTATCATAACCATTATCACCATGGAAGGAATCCCAGCTTGGGGAGTATGGATTTCAATGAGTTGTTGAAGCAAGGTGATTGGGAAGAGCTGAGGTCCTTGTTTGAGTGTGGTGCTGCCGCTTCTGCTTCAGCTTCTGCTTCTGCTCCTGCTCCTGCTGCTCCTATGTTCTTTTGATAATATCCCTACAAATTTTTACCAAAGGGGTGATGTTATTGGCCTGGTAAAACATTAGCTTTCCCATTTCTAATTTTTTGTCATTTCAGAAAAGATTATATTCAAGAACTAGAGGAATATATATTCATGCTGATAAATGTGAGGATAATTAATATTGTTGAAGCGACAAAATTTTGGTTAGGGGATGCTAATATTTTGCTCTGGAAATAACATCATTCCGGTTAATTTGTAAACACTCGCCTAGCTGCCATGACTGTATGTATGTATGTATGTATGTATGTTGCCTTGTAACATAGAACTTGAGGAAATATTGTGTACGTTTAATAATCACTTTATAAAGTAGATGAAATTGAACTGATCGCCGATGATCCTGTAAATAAATGCTTTATCTCAATTTGCTCGTTCTATTTTATCTGTTGGTACTTGGTACTTTACATTGTTCTCATTCCGTCACAAAAAAAAATAATTTGTATTATAATTTGTGAATCATATTGTTTTTAATATAATTCACAAATTATAATATGAACTATTTTTTAACTTTTTTTTTTTGGAAACATGGAGTATAAACTAAAGAAATGAAAAAGTTAATTTGGCGACTTTAATTTATTAATAACGATTTCCTCTGACCTTTATATATGCACAGGAATAGTTGATAACTAGTGTTATTTTGTATCTTGTAAAGAACCGAAGAGAAATTATATTTTAATACAGTTAAACATCTATAAATTAATATTGTTAAGACCCCAAAAAATTAATAATTTATCGATGTATTTTAATACATAACATGCCTTTATTAAAAGAGATTTGATATTTTTCTGAAAAATCTTTAAATTCTCATCAATGGCTTGATACATCATGTAAAAACTTCATAACATCTACAATTTCTCTATATATAAATTTGAAGAAAAAACAAACATCACTAAATTCATATTTTACTAACTCTTTTTTTTTTCAAGTCATTACTAATTTATGATATTAATGGGACCTATATTTACATAGAGATTTTTTGAAAAATTATTATCTTATTATTTTATCGATTGTCTTTATTTTTGTACTGGTCCCGACTTGGGACAAGAAAAAATTATTAATTTATCGATGTTCTACTGTAACAATACCACATTATAGATGTATTGCTAGTTAGTTCCTATTTCCGGAAAAAAGGGGGGATGTGTATCATTATTATTATTATTGTATAATTGAAAAAGTCTACCAGGCCCGGGCTATATAATTCTTTGGACTTCTTCTTCAAGCAGCCTACATTAATCTGTAGATGAAACTTCGTCATAAATGGCAGGAGTACTTATTGTGTACTTTTATATATATCTGCGACTGAGTAAGTGATCAACGATGAAATGTTGAAGACACGCATTAATTTCTCATAAATATTAGTACTCACTCTATTCCAAAATAAGTATCATTTTACACTTTGCACATAGTTTAAGAAACTCTTAAATAGGATAATGAAATTACTTGAATATTCTCAATCAACCCCATTAAAAAAATATCTACCAATAGGATTAATTATTTTGAGGGTAATTTTGGAAACTTTGGACAAAAGGTGCATTGAAATGTGAGAACGACACTTATTTTGAAATTTCTCTATTTTATTAAAACGACTTTTATTTTGGAACGGAGGAAGTATTATTAACCCAATCTTATTACAACTTGACATTATAAAGGGAGCGTCTCCTTTCATTAAGTCGATATTCATCAACTATATATAAAAGCTCCCGCCAAACCCTAACAACGTAACCAAAGTCTACGAGATAATTTGTGCAAACTAACTAATGTGGTCCTATATAGGATTCGGGAGCATTGGGAGATATCATAATAGACTCTGCATTTGCGATACGATACTAAGAGGTAAATTTCGCAAAAAAAAGGACAAAGGTTCATACATTTGTTCTCACTTCTCACTCTAGAGTCGATGTAAAATAAAATAACTTCAGGTCTTTTTAACAAAAATTAGTGTTTAATTCTTCTTAATGTTAAATTAGAAATGCTGAAATCATATCAATTGGGTTGGCACAAGTGGTAAGCAGCTTGATGCCGCTTAAGCAAGGTCTCGGGTTCGAAACCTTACTCTTATTGGGAGACTCACCCACCACAGCCAGGTGTGCGACCCGAGTCGACTAACGGATTAGTCGGGACAAAGCTTCGGAAACCGCGGCAGGCAATAAAAAAAAAAAAAAATGCTGAAATCATTAAAGAGTTACAGAATAATTGATTAAGAGATTCATTTTTTATTATCAAATAGGTTGAAATGAAAAAATACTTAATTAAATAATTTTAAGCATTAAGTAATATTATCAAATAGACCCTTAGTTATAAGCTTTCACTTTTTTTTTTGGGCCCTTAAAAATGGAGAGAGAGAAAAACCATGTGAAATGAGGTAAATGCGATTTTACTGCGATGATTGTTTCAACTACGGTAGAGAAAAAGAATTCGAAGTAATATGCCAAAACAGAAAAAAAAAAAAAAACAATTAGAGCGCTTACGAGGCTTAAGGCCTGCTACTGACATCATTGGGATTCGTTTACGTTTCTATCTTAAGCCCCAAAAAAAAAAAGCCCATTCTAATGCAGCCCATGTCTCTGTCATCCCTTTTCACTAGTCATCATCATCATCACCATCAACACCATTCGATTGCTTTTCTGCTTCCTAATTTAAGTGTTTCCCAGTTAAAACAATAAGTATTACTTATCATCAAAGCTAATTCCCCTGGAGAAGAAAGTTGGCAGAATTAACTGAGATTTTGATCTTTGGATGCTTTAAAGCATCTTCATTGGGTTCGTTTTCCGTTCTTCTGAAAAAGGTATGTCACTTCACATCCCTTGTGTTTGATTCCCTCGATCTATATCATTATTCTCTGCAACAATTTTTTTTTTCTGTAAAATTCGAAACGAACTTGTTTAAATTCTTCTCTTGAATTCACTAACTTGTTCAATGTCGATGAATTAGTCCTTTTGTCACCTTTTAGCATGTTCTTCAGTTTTGTGTGAAAGATTGGGTTCTTATTATTTGATTCGAGCGTTGCAAGAGAAATACTAGCAATGCAATGCAGAGCCGCGTTTAAATTTCAAATATTAGAAGCAAAAGATATCGAATTTCTCTTTGAATCCCAAGGAAGAGACTTTTTTTCTTTCTTTTTTTTTTTTGTTTTTGTTTTTTCTTTGCCTCTCCAGTTATTGTGGATGGACTGAATTCACTTGTTACTTTCTGGCATGTAAAGGTTCTCTGGTGATTTAAGATTTTCTAGGAAAAGTTGTCTTTCCGATAGTGTGAGTATTGGTTTTCGGTTCCCCGATTCTGTCTTTTAAGTTTATATCAGTCATGACGCTGAAGATCTGCAGGAAGTTTGTTAATAGTTGGAAATTTTCATCACATTCATAACTAAAATGTCAATGAAACCTCTGAATTTGTGCATATGCAAGGTTTTTATTCTATGCATCGTCTGTATGCATGTTCTCTAATGAGCTAGATATTTTTGTGAGTAGCGACATTACCGTGTTTGTTTATGGCCCTGTTTACGTTTTCATTATTTACTCACTATGATGTGATTTTTTGAATCAGATGTTAGATCCTCGTTGCATTATCTTCATCGTTGGTTTTCTTTGTCTCGCGCGAGTACTTGATGCCAGTGCTGGGGATGCTGACCCCATTTACAGGTAAATATGATTTCCCTGTTTACCTTTTCTGGGATGTGGAGATACTTTCTCGATCTACTCTTCGACGTAAACAATATTTTTGTAGGATTATGAACATGAGAGAAAATAAAGATAATATGCTTAGTTACTTTGTTATGGATAAGAAAGATCTAATTGTGCAGTTTCAGTTGAAGAAATGCTTCCCTGTGAGCTCTAGTCTAGGATCTTTCTCGATGAGTGGATGGTATTATGAAAGTTTATTATACTTTGAATTGTAGGACTTGTACCGGAGAATGTGAAAGGAGAGGTTGTGTTGGAGAAACGTGTTTTACACCCTGCAAGTATCTCTTGGATCATTCTTCAACCGAAGCCCCTTGGTATATGCAAAAACCACTGTATTTACTCTGGAAACAATTGGATTGCAAAAGCGAATGCCGTTATCACTGTATGATGGAGCGAGAGAAAGAAAGAGCAGTTCATCTAGGGCCTGTAAAGTATCATGGTAAATGGCCCTTCCAACGGCTTTTTGGATTTCAGGTTTGTGAAAAGATTTTTCGCGCGTGCTAATAGTTTCATTTTTTATTGCTGAAATGTTTGAGAATGTAATTGATAATTTCAAGCCCATTTTAAAATCTGTAAAGCCTCCAATACATCAATGCATCAATACATCAATGCACCAATGCATCTTGGGGTCGTACTACTTAAAAAGGTTCTCTGTATTGATATACAGGGGTAAGGCTGCATACATCTTGATCCCCAGACCCCAACCGAGTTGGGAATATTCTGGATATGTTGTTGTTGTTGTTGTTGTTGTTTAAATCTGTAAAGCCGACATTCCTTCCCAATGATACCACAGCTGACTTGTTTTAGTTCTGTGAAAGACTAAACAACATTAATCACTACTGATTTGATAGCAACTATGTCGTTAGTCACTTAATTAACAAGCACTATAATAAAGTTCACCGGTTCCTAGTTTACCCATTAATTCTCAGACTACATTTATGTTGAAGTGGTGTCCTTTTGGTTAAACAGGAGCCTGTTTCTGTAGTTTTTTCCTTCCTCAACCTGGCGGCGCATTTCTATGGTTGGCTGTGCTATTTCATCCTTATTTACTATAAGCTGCCGCTAAAACACGATAAACCATACTATGATTTTGCTGGTCTTTGGCACATTTATGGACTACTATCCATGAATTCATGGTTCTGGAGTGCTGTTTTCCACAGTCGGTGAGGCTTCTTTCCTTTCTTTTCAATTCTGATTTTTTTGTCATTTGTGTCGCATTATTATGTTCATATTTACTAGCAGTTAAGAAAATCTTAGATCACTGCCATTTCTTAAAATGAAATCTTTTAACTATACCAACCCAGTTCTTTTCCTTTTATCACTGACACATTGATCTGTGTCGAATTTGTAAAATTCACAGAGAAGTGGAATTCACAGAAAGGCTAGATTACTCATCGGCGGTGGCACTGCTTGGTTTCTCTCTTATCTTGTCCCTGATAAGAAGTATCGGTATTAAGGATGAGGCTGGCCGAGTCATGGTATCTGCCCCACTCATTGCTTTCACAACCACCCATATACTGTATCTGAACAACTTCAGAATGGACTATGGTATGCAAGTGCCTGCGATGTGTAATATGACTTTTTGTGTACCGAATCCCGAAAATGATACTAAGCTACTATCACTATTTGCTCAGGTTGGAACATGAAAGTGTGTGTAGTAATGGGTGTGGCGCAGCTTCTTGTTTGGGCTGTATGGGCCGGGGTAACTCGCCATCCCTCTCGCTGGAAGTTGTGGATTGTCGTTGTGGGAGGTGCCCTAGCAATGCTTCTAGAAATCTACGACTTCCCCCCATACAAAGGGTTTGTGGATGCACATGCGCTCTGGCATGCAACAACAATCCCCCTAACCATTATTTGGTGGAGTTTCATCAGGGATGATGCCGAATTTCAAACATCTATCCTTGTCAAGAAGGTAAAATAATAGCGTGCTGTGCTGTCTATTCTTTCAACCTTGTATTATTCTTTTTAACAGCTTGAGAGCATTTCCTTATATCGGAGGAAACCAGTAGTATTCTTTCTATAGTTCCAAGTCATGTCTTCCCCGAATGGAACGAGGGAATGCCAACTCCCTTGATGTCAAATGTTGTCAATCTTTACCAAATGGGAAGGCAGATATTTTTGCCAGATTGAATTTAAGCAGACTCAGACACTGAGGGTGGTGATTCACTGATTTGCTGCTCATACTACAATTTTGATCCGATGTAATCCATTTGCTTAGGTTGTGTATTGGTACAAAAAATTTTGTCACTTTGCTCTTTCAATATGGTTATGTTTCTATACTTATTCTTCTCATGTTATAAGGGGAGACATAACCCTATATGTATGTAGCTATCTAGATGAGTTGCACATTATTTTGAATGGAAGAGATTAACTAGACTATTAAAATGGGTCGCAAGGAGTAATAAGCAAACCATTCTGATTGTGACAATTATTATTTTTTGTCAAGTGATCATTAACCTACAATATCAATAAGTTTGACGACGCATTCATTATTGTTTGCAATTGCATCCCAGTTTGGTTTGACCGTGACAAGTCAGTATAATTGGAAAAGGTCACTGTAAGCCACAATTCAGTGAAATTTCCTCATTGTGCCACTTTAATTGTACACGCATAATTATAGATTGTTGATTTATTTCTTCTTTTTTTTTAATGTTTGATAAGCAAGTCTAAGGAAAAAGAGGCTACAAGATTTAGGACAATAGGACATTATTTTGAAAGTGGGAATTGGCCACAACTCAAGTGGAACCATCCATGTTTGGACATAATAAAAAAATGATTCAATCCTATTGTCTGCTAAATATGAAATCAAAGTGTGCCCACTAAATCAGTCTCACCTTTGTCCTTTCATTGCAGAACAAAAACAATAATAAGTAGATATGGCATATGGGGTACCCCCTTAATTCAATCAAAACACACAGGAGATAGGGCACCACCATGATGCCCTAAATTGAATATGGCCGTTGAAATGAGCCATAAAATTAGAAATCGATGTGATATTTGTTATTAATAGTGTGTAATATTATACCCCACTACCAAGTTGGAGGATGTCACGTACCAGATCTTGATTTATTTGGGTTATTTTTGTTTTTCACATTGGAGTGGAGGCTGCTGAGAAAAATACTAGTACTAATTGATGTTTACACTTTGAGAATTGAGAATCAAGGGTGTCATTGTCAATGGTCGCTGAGTTGGAGCTACATTGTCATAAGGTGCTTAATGTAATCATCAAAGTAAAATAGTACTCCCTCCGTCCCAAAAAAAAAAATAAAATAGTCCACATCGAGTTTTGAATTTCGTACTATTTTTAGTATAAATTTGAAAATTTAATGTGAATTATTTTTTTGGGACGAAGGTAATATGAATTAAGAGGTGATCTGTTTGTGGCTGGCCGTAAAAATAACATTTTAAGTGAGAATGTTATAATTCGTTCAGTTACAATCGATAAATAGAATTAGTCTTAACGATAATTCCTAAATCATGTGCTTTTCTCTATTTACTATATTTTCTGATCTCCGAATCCAGAAAAAGAAAAAGAAAGGAAAAAAAAAACCTAATTCCCTACTGAGGTAGGGCTTATTAAGCTATAATTTTATTTTCATTGTGATGAAACATTATTATGGCATCCTACTGATCAAAGACAATATCTCTGTGAATGACAGGCAAACACCATTAGTGATTTAGTGCCTAACTTTATGGGAAAAACTGTCTAATAAGAATGATTCTCCAATTGAAACAGTAATGTTTAAAGTGAGAAGTGATCAACTTAAGATCAAATCAGCAAGTAAAGTCTGCCATCACCACAGTTCGATGCCCACCAGTAATCAACCTTCTTTCAACCCTCTTTTTTTTTTTTTCTTGTTTACTTAATTAGTGGTATCACCAAATTTTTAGTTACTATTATAATACCCATGATGTGATGGGATCATCATCTGATAATTTATTTCCTTCAATATGATTGCGAATGATAAAAGCAAACACCAGGGTTGTTGGCTTTTTTTTTAATTTGATTTTTTAAAAAATAAGTAAGTAGTTTCTTTTTTTCTTTTAGGGCACCACTTTAGTTGGTAATTATTAGTATTTTGGTACATAATGTATCGAGTAATATATGATTTAACCTAATCTAGTATTGTAATTGTGTTATGTTATCTTTCGGTAGGGTTTCGGTGTCTTTTTATTTCAAACATTTTTTGGTGATGGACGGAGTGATTAATTAATTACTTATTTGTATTGGCTAAGTTATGGAACTAGATTGACTGAGTGGCTGAGTGCTTGATTTCTTGGCTCCCACACGTCCACGAAGAAGAAATTTTGTTGGGGGATTATCCAATCATTTTATTAATTTATTATAATTCACTGAGGAAAATTTAATAACCCATTACAGTCAATAATCCAACCTTCATTATGCATTCAATCACAGATGCATCAGCTTTAATTTGATTGTTTTCGATTTGGTATCTTCTTCTTGAAATAAAAACAAGCTCTACGTCTTATTCCAAAACCCCACTACTAGTCTACCACACCCCTTTCCAAATTCCAAGTCACCGATTCAATTCATATAATATTGGAATGAATTTGGTAAAAATGAAAGTAACGATAGTAAGTAATTAAGTGAAGATAAACGATTCGTTGATTGGTTCATTTTCCATTAGCAGTTGAAGAAATTGGATTAGATAGCTTGACCTATCACTTTCTTAATTTTTGTTTGGTTCTTAAATAAATTGAATTAAAAGATTGGTTGTTGGGTGGCTGCCTTTCAGCCATTCAGAGCTCGTTTTCTTTAATTGTTGATTTATTTATTTATCATCACTAAAAAAAAAATGGTTCAATCCAATTAATGGATGATGTATAACATTGTTGCTTGTTAGGATTAATTAATTTCACGTTTTGGATAATGCGTCTGCTAATGATGACATGACGTTTTTCCCAAGTTGTCGCAATCTCATTTGACAATTCACCCTATTAAGTAATTAATTAATTGATCAATCAAACTCCCCATTACAGCCTTAATTTCTGAAAAGAATAAAGTTTGGCAACATAAAAAAGCATCAACATACATGATTTAATGTAATTATGACATTAAAATGATCACTTATTAAGGAGACTAACATTAAAATATTAAGTAAAATGATATTTACATTGGAGATAGAAATCAACTAATACTAGAACGAATCACAATTCAAATATTTTTGTCTACTTAATCCTTTTTACTTCATGAAAGCAAATAACACTTAGGACACGTATCAGCTTCACATAAGTTTTTTTCCCGCCTAAACAAAAAAAAAAACATTTTTTGCAAAAGAATGATGCCACGTGTCATGTGTACATCCGAAAAAAAAAGGCTCCACAATTTTGCAAGATACAAAATGATCACCTTAAAACACTCTCCAATTTAAGGATTTTTCATAATATAATGAGATTTTAAAAAATCAGTAAAAGAAGGGATTTAATCACTCCCTATTTTAAATGTTCACGTTAAACTCTCCCCAATTTAAGGGATTTACATTCAAATCCGAAAATGATTCCTCCAAATCTTAACTCCATCGATAACATTTCAATTTTTTCTTTTTTTAAAAAAAGAAGAGATAAGTGAAGTTCAAATTCTTTTTTCAGATACGATTCTTCTCCTTTAAAAGAGCAATCTCCTCTTCCAATACCCACTGCCGGCCTTCCTCCTCTCTCCTTCCTTCAAAATCCGAGCGACTACTAAAATATCAGTTCCTCAACCTGTTACTTCCAAACTGAAACCCGGGCTTCTCCGGCGAGAGAAATATTAGACCTTTTAGCTTCATCACTCATCAACTCACCCCGATTTCTCCGAAAGTCCAGAACCCCAATTTTAGCTACATCAAATCAAATAAAAAAATCTCAATCTTATCTTCTCAGAATTGACGTGTATCAATTCAAATTTTAAAGAAATCTCTAAAATGTTAGATCAGAAGCAAGCCCTTTTCCACCTCTACTGTGGAAGTGAAAGGGAAAAAGAAAACTCCGCCATAGATTTTTCAGTTTTGTACACAATTTGGCGAGTTCTAAGCGACGATGTCGCATGGCGGCGGATACCATCAACATCGAGGTCGCGGGGAAAAGATAGTAATTGATGATGTGTTTTGTTGATAGTCTGAATTTGGTGAATCCCGGTCACGAGAAGCATCGATGGAGATTCGATGATGATGCTGGCGGCTGGATCAATCTCTTCGCAAATTCAGATTGGGATTTTTATGGGTTCGGCCTATGTTGAAGAATTTCATACTTTGCACTTTGGCATGGTAATCAACTTACCTTCTTTATTTATTCGATTAGCTTAGCCATCAATTTCATTTGTTAGTTGTTCGTTGTTCCAGGGACAATGATTTACCTTTAACCAAAAAAAAAAGATGAATTATTAACTGGAGGTGGAAGAAAACTAGAAGAGACGGTGAGCAATCATCGAATGAGAACAACACGGAGAAGGACGATGAATTATTGGAAGAGGACAACCGGTCGGAGGAGGATGTGGAATCGTCAGAGGAAGATGATGAACACTAGTCAGTTCCGACTATATTCCAAAAAACGTTTTTTGATATGTATTGGAGATATCTAATGCCATATTTCAGTTGAAGATATTAATTCTTGCTATTGGTATGATTTCTATATGATTCTCGCTCTTTATACAGTTGAATAATTTGCACATGGTGAGCTGTCAAATCATTGAAAAATTGGATTTATTTTTTTATGTCTATCACAATCGTAATTGATTTGATGTCAAATTTGGAACGTAGGTCTATTATATGTATTTTTCTCTATTGTTTAGCTAAAAGTTGCCAACTATATTGATGGAAAATTTGTGGAGTCAGAAGCATGTCAGTGTCTTGATGTATTAAATCCAGTGAGTTAAAATGTATTTGGGATATGAGGGCGAATCCTATAAATGCTTACAAATCTTTATACGTAAACCTAAATCTTTTCACTGGATAAACTGTTAGACTACTCAAGAAGTGGTTTCCCAAGTTCCTATCACTACCTATGAAGAGTATAAAGTGGTTGCGGCTTACCTTTTGCTCTCTGCAGATAGGGGAGTTCATTCCGAATGTCACCAATGGAATTGATATGTTTTGTATCAGAGAACCTCATGGTGTTTGTGCTAGTATATATCCCTTAAACCTATTGGCTATGATTTCTTTTACTTTTCTTTGGTTTATTGCATCTTCAAAGTTGCTATATTAAGGTCAACGCATGTAGAATTGAGAATGATTTTTAATATTTACATTTTTTTCTGTAGAAGTAGTTTGGGATTAATTCAACTGTGCAATTAAATGAAGAGGTGCACAAAGTCATTTCATCTTTTTTGCAAAGAGATTAATAATGCTTTGAACACATAAAAATAAATAGACTGGTAAAGGACTCATAAAGGTACAACTCATTGTCTTTATGGTCTATGTTATACCAT